GATCGCATGGGAGGAGCAACAAATCAACACTATCCTTCTTTTTCTCACCTACTCGACAAATCGCCTAACCGCCTACTTGCCTGACTCTCTCGCCTAATCGCCTGCTCGCATGCATGCATGATCGCCAGCTCTGAACGCTGCTCAACTAGAAGTGCTCCATTATATTGGGTTTTTCGGAAAGTTCCCGCTCTTTGGGGCTTTTACCCTCACGCTATGTTTGAAAACCTTGTCGGTTACGCCCAATTCAGAAGCAGCTTGTTCAACAGTTTCATGCAGATTTGATTTGGCCAAAACCCTCAGCTGATCTTTATCAGTCTCCGATATCACTAATCTCCTTCGAAGCTTTCAACATCGCGAGGAAAGACATTTTGAATTACGACTGCACAGCGTATTTTTTGTGGACTCAGAACCAAATGCTTAGTTGATATCGCAACTTGCTTCCGCACATTTCCGAGCAAGTTTGAGGGGAAACAAGAAACTAGTGCAAAGCAGGCTGTTGAGTATGTTGTATTCAAGACTCCAAAGAAAAATTGGAAAAGTGGTTCAGGTTAGAAAACAGTAGATATAGATAGAGCGAGAAACGCGCTTTCTAAGATATATAAAGTATTAGCAGTTTCTCGAAAGTGACCCAGAAATAAAGCATTCAAAAGTGAGCTATAAAAACGGCGGAAACTTTCCGGACAACCCAATACTTTGCGCTTACCTTTGTTTGGAGCATCACTGCCTACATTTCGTACCTTTGGATACTGGAAAACAGCCCAGCCGTCTCCTGAAAAATAACATTTAATTTAATCATAGACCGCTAAAGAAAGAAATTCTAACATCGTAGTGATATCAAAGGACTGCATAGGAACTGCCTTTTCCTTTTATTTTTGAGCAATCATTTCCTTGTAGGAACGTTGAGTAGATTACATTCTCAGAAAGCTCGTACTTCTTCGCCCACTGAGCCCTCATAGCAGTCGAACACGGCGTTATGGAACTGTAGATTGACTCAATCCTTTCAGCAGCATAATATTTGACTTCTCCGAGAACAAGTAGAGTGGATTTCCTTGATCATTGGTAGATTGAGTTAAGCAGGTGATGGTCAATTTGATCAAAGCCGAGTGAATCTGCTGGGAGTGAGAATGCCTTCAACATGTTTCATTAGTATCTGCTTTCCGACCATAGCAACGTGGGCCCCAGCATATCATCGTGGTGGAACACAGACTTCTTGTAAATTGGTGCAATTGATGACTGCACTTGTATCAGCAATGAGCGTAATTTTTCTATCCGCTGTCGAAAGTTCACTTCATAAGCTTCCATAGGGGGCTGGTGGTGGACTCCATGGACAAGAGGGGTGACTAGAAAATTTTTGAAGTATGACACTCATTTCTCATCCGTCCTCTATTTGTAGTCGCAATAAGTTTGGGAAACGTCAAATTTTTGACATGGCACAGCTAAAAAGAGAGAAGCTGTGTCAAATATTAGGTTCTAAAGAAAGTGTATGCCGTTTTGGATACTTCAAGTCTGAAGGGATTATTTCTGACTAAATTTCACGCACACTGCCAAATATGGCATGGTGTTAGTGAGCGCGATGGTTGCATGATTCGAGGGTTCTGTCGGCTTTGCTTATTATTTATTGCTACCATTTTCTCGAAGCCTTGAAGAAGCCATGCTCAACTAACGAATCTGCGCAATTTTCTTCCTCCGACTCGCATCAGGGCAGAAAGGAGAGGTGCTAGCTCATGATGTAAATTATTCTTTAGAACTTGCATTTACGAAAAATTTGCAGGGAAGAGATAGTTGAGGAAGCTTTTGTAGGGATGACAAGAGCTTCGAAGGTGGTGAGGGTGGTCGATGGATATTGAACGTTGGTAGAAATTAGCTGAAAGACTCGAAGGAATTGAATGCGCTTATAGCTGCTGAGAAGGAATTAAGCATAACTGATCTGTGGTTCCAAGCCACACGGAGCAGGTCGAAAAGTCCGGAAAAGTCGACAAGGGAGTTCCTCAAGAAATCGCGGTCAAGTAGAGCCGTGTGTCCTTTTCAACCAGGGTCAAGCGTGCGTTGAGGAATCCTCGACATGTCACAGGGGGGGGGGTCGTATTGGCCCGCTGGGGGAAGAGATCGGGCCCGATTGATGCAGTAGGATCATCGTCGGAGGACAAACATCAAGGATCGAATCGATGCCAGGCCAGAGGATTTCCAATAACAATGATATTTCACCCACACAAAATTTTCGTGATTCTGAGGCGTCCGGTAATTCTTAGTTACTTCAGTGTTTTATCACCACACAAGTTAAAGAATCTGAAATTTCGCACGTTTTCCAAGAGATATTTTATCTTTCAAGTGAGTCCTCAATCTGAAGGGATGTGAAGCACACGGCGCATCCCAGAGTGGGCCCAGTTGGTTGCGCGCGCTTCAACTACGGCTCTCTGGAGAAAGAATCTCAATTCAGGAAAAATCAAGAGGATTCTGAAAGGGTTCATGTGAAATTACAGGGAGGAGTACACCATTCAACAAGAAACGCAGCCTTCAGCGTCAAATTCATAAGCATGTAACCTTAAAGTTGAGATACGCTAAACAATTTTACACTTTTGGAAAGAGAAAAGCACGAGGATTTCGAATCTGCTCCTACTTTAGTATATAATCGCCCCTGAAAGGAGCTATAGTCGTTGAAATAGTGCCAATGCAGCGAAAAAGTACCTTTCGGCGGTCGGGCAAAAATCCTCAACGTGGCCATTTTTTAAATAGTGGACGTATTTAGCAGTTCTAGTAACCGTTGAATAGAGCAAATCTTCTAGTTTATGATGACGTATTAACTTTTCAGATTGGATGAGTTTGAACGGAGTTATGGCTTTGGAAAGTGTAAAAACTCGCACTCATCACGAATTTTCCTCGTTAATTAATCTAAATTTGTTATTTCTTATAAATTTTTGTAATTTCTATACTGATTAGGAGCTCTTCACAAAACTTCCAAATCTGCTTTCAGATTGGAATTTCAAAAAAATTTCAGACACTGTTTGAAAGTGGCGGGCTTCCTTTAAACGTTGGGTCCCGCCACTATTGAGTCGCTGGTACCTAGTTCGACTCGCTGGTACATCGTTCGACTCGCTGGTGCATCGTTCGATTCGCTGGTGCAACGTTCGATTCGCTGGCGCAACGCTCGGATCCAGCGATTCGCTAGCGAATCGCTCGATTCGCAAACTATGACATCGGCCTTAAAACCGGCTCGTCAGAGCCCGGACCTTGCCTTTGAGAGAAATACAAGATAAAGGACGAAAAACATCACGTACCAGCAAATAGGTCCGATTTTCTCACTTCGGAGTCCATAAAAGTGGACGCTACTTGATAAAACTGTTAACGAATTGAAATATGGATTGGATATTCTCTAAACATTCTAAAACTGTGATTAACTTTTGGAAATATATAATCGTTACCATCGACATTAATAAATCTGAATTGTTCCATAAAACTCTTTATATACTCTTAATAAATTAGGATCACAGCAATAGTTTCTTTCACGGAAATCTTTGCAATTTGAGTAATAAAACTCTGATTACATAAAATAATATGGCTAACAATGCCAGAAACATAAAACCACGGGCTAGCCGTCACATAAAGAAAAGCTTAAGAGCTTATTGCCTAAGGCTGCACCTATCACCACTGTGTCACTCACATGGCTCTTCCTTTTTAACACAGAACGTACCATTCTCATAGTTCCCGTCGAAAGCAAGTTCATGGGCTTTGATGTCACAGAGCTCACACTGAAAGAGCATGATTGTTTCTTCAAGATGGAATTATCAAAAAAAAAACATAAATTCTAACAGTTCAAGCGCACTATTCGCCTTCCGCTCTACCTCTCCGGAACTTTCGCGACTATCGTGGAAATTTTCGGTATTTTAACAAACCCTATTGGTTGAGTTAACAAGCTCCAAAACAGTGTGAGAGATACACGATTCCAAATGAGGGCATATTATGGAAAGCACCTTGAAAAGAATCGAAAGTGCTCAGAACGATCAGCAGGGATCCGCAATTTGCTCTCTATGTCTTCATAAGCAAGCTACAAATTTTCTTAGAGCTCCGCCCATTTTGAAAGATTCCTTCACGGAAAAATCATGATTCCATTTCAGCCATAAATCACTGGCTTGAGACTCATCATCCACGATAAGAATGAAAAGAACAGAAAAATTGCATTTGTTTTGGTAAAAAAAATTCGAAAAATCGAAAGGGCTGCTACGCGTTCAAAGTACCCCGGATCTTTCACAAATGCTGGCGACGGGGATGCTTCCACTTGGTTCTTGGAGTGCCTTCACTAGAAACTCTTTCTGGCCTTCTGCTTTATTGCATTCACATCTTACACTTCTACTCCATCCTATTCTATCGATCGATTTGTCTCTACTCTCCGAAATCGCGCGCTTTAACCCGATTCTTTCATTGCGTCGCCTGATACGTAGCCGCCCAAGGCGGACTTCTTTCCATGCCCCGCCTTTGGCTCCGCCTACCTTCGATTGTCCATAGAGTGTAGTTTTTGTACGTTTGTTTCTCTTCGGAAACCGAATCTTCATGCGTGAAACTTTGTGTGCTGTTTCCAGTGATCACAACTGACATATTCATGTTGAAAGAATGCAAGAATTTTCCGCGAAGGATTCCTTTAAGAATGCTGGACCAACCAAGGGCAGAGTTGCGACTTACCCTGCAACCGTCAACGAGACAGAATCGCGGACAAAAAAGAGCTAAACAGACAGACGAGGACCAATATATTATACCAGTTTGCTGCAAGCAATCTAGCCGGCGACGGTAGTGTGGATCAAGGCAGTAAATGCACGGATCAACGCGGCATGGATGAAATGGAGGGAGTCCACTAGGATCTTCTGTGATCTAAGGTCCAGAACGTTCAAAAGGAAGGTGTACGGACATCAGGCCTGTGATGCTTACGGCATCCAGTGGGCAAGAACCACGAAAGGCAGCTTCACTCCGCTGAGATGAGGATGCTGAGATGGGCCTGCGGCTGGACGCGACTGGACAGGGTCAGAAACGAGGATGTCAGAGCGGTCATGCAGACTGCCCCTGTCCAGCTGAAGGTACGGGAACAGCGCCTGCGATGGTATGGGCATGTGCTAAGGAGGCCACAGGATCGTCCGATAAGGAAAGCGACAGGATTCGAAGAGTAATAAGAGGTAGAGACGTCATCAGAAAGGACCTCACTGAAGTCAGGCCACAGCAGAAGATGCCCTGGATAGAACAATGGCGACGGCTGACAAAGACAGCGGACCCTGCGACTGCGCGGGACTAACGCTAGGGAGAAGAAGAAAAGAGATTTCTTGTGGAAAAGGTCACGTTTTTTGGGAAACGCTGCCCAGTTTGAGAACACTGCTCCCATCGCAAATTTGTCACCTTCATTCGACCTTGATTCACAGCTTACCCTATTTGTGCATACGGGTCTTTCGCTGTTCTATGGTGATAGAATCGAATTCGAAGTTTCTGTCGTGGATATCACCTATTCCGGCGCATGGCCAACCAATCGTGGGCTGGGCTACGGTAATGAGTGCTCCTATGCCGTCTCATGCCCAACCCATTTCAAACTAGACCTGGGCTCTCCAACTGATTCTCCAGGTATTACAGAATTGCGTGACAGACACACACATACAGACAGACATTGCGCTTTGTATATACTGGTATGAAAAACTTTCGGAAGAAAGTAACTTTTTTATGGTATGCGCTTTTGTGAATGATGTCACGCACATAAAGAACCGCAAATAGTGTAGATAAACTACTCCCGGAAACACTCAAGGGGGCGTCCTCAATTGCATAATATGAGTCGGTGGCAGACTCAACCAATGGGCGAATCTCTTATTCAAAGAGTTCCTCACCTTAGTTGTTTAGTGCAATCACACTGACCTCTATGAGCGAATTAGATCCAAAAGCATTTGCGAAGGAGTTCAGTACTACAATAGCGTTGACCGAGAGTTTAGAGCGTTCGAAAGTTCATAGTGCAATACGCCTTCGCAACACTGTGTCTCCCCGCATCGTGCACCTGGATCCAAGAAGATCCTGCTCGATAAAGTTCCCGAAACATTACTTGTTCTCACTCCTCGACATTTTGAAGTATGCGCGGAATCATTACTCACACTCTAGGAGG